GGCGGCGGCGTGGCCTTGACTGCTGGCGATGCTGGGGGAAGCTTCTTCACTGGCGGCGGTGGAGCTGGGGACTCTGTATCCGAGTCGGAGGCTATCAGCACAGCATCATCGGAGGAATCACCACCTCCGATAGAGGGGGCCGGTTTGGCAGCCTTCTGCGTGGGCTTTGCTGGCTCCTTGTGGTCCGTGAGATCCATTTCTTCGTCCTCGTCACTGTCCTCGTCCAGATTGACAACTCCGCCATCCGAGGTGGCAATTGCCGCCGCCTTGGCCTCTGCTAAGCTGGCCTGTCCGTTCTCTTTCTGTTTAGGCCTGACTCCAAAGCCATTCTCCTTCTTGGAAGTGGGCTCGTCTTCTTCGTCATCCCCTTCGCTGGGCAGGCTATCACCGTCACCATCTAGATGGGTTTTCTTCCCGCTAACCAGCTCCTCCTCCTGAACTGTGGCTGCTCCCAGGGGATCTTCGGCCTCGCAGCTGTTTTCCGCTGTGCTGCCGATCTTCTCGGCCTCGTCTTCGTCCTCGGCCTCATGATCTGCGTCCCCATTGGTGGTGGCCTCTTCTTCGTCCTCCTCCTCATCCAGCTTGGGCTCTTTGGAGCTGCTGCTGGTGATCTGCGAGTCCTCGTCGTCGTGCTCCACTTCGTTTTCTTCGACCTCCTCCTGTTTCTCTTCCACCTCCATTAGCTCGTCGGGCGCTGGAGCCTGTGGAGAAGCCTGGGCCACATCCTCATTGGCGATATCCTTGTCGCCGGAGGAGATGATATCCAGCTTTTCCTTGGCGGGGGGTAACTCCTCCTCCACCTGCTCCTCCTCCGCCACCTGCTCAGCATCATCCTCCGTCCTGACTCGCCGCTCATCATCATCCACATCCAGTGCTGCCGATGCTTTAGACTGTTTTGGGGAACTTGATGCGCTGGCAAGCTTTGTCGTGGGCTCGGCCACGCCCTCCGGCAAAACGACATCGACTTCAGTCATTTGAGGTCCGTTCTCTGCTCCGTGGAATGTGCCCAAGTCGGTTTATCTTCCAGCTGTTTGTGTTTCTGTAAGTCATATTGAAAGTAAGTATGAAATTCGGAAAGTCAGTTTAAGATCTTTTTTTCAGAAATTTAAAAGGGAGCTTCTTTTTAGACCAACCGGAAAAATTGGCACGTAAAAGAAAACTAAAGTATCAAAAAGCAACGAATGAGCAGCACAAAGCGCAGCGGGCAAAGAGTAAAAATAAAAAGAGCTAAAACTGCAGAACGAGGGGAAGAAAAAAAAGGGGGCAAAGAGAAAAGGCGAAAAAATTAAGAATCACCGAAAAATATTTGAAAATCTGGGTGAATTAAAAAGGTTAATTTAAGAAAAGGCGGACAAAAACGGTTAAAAAGAGGAAGCAGGAGCGGGAAGCGGGGGGAGTTCAAAGAATGGTTTGATACAAAATGGCTGCCATATTGGATTAAAACTAAAATTCAATTTAATATGTAATGTAAGTATGTAAATATTACACTGCGAGAAAAAAAAATAAGCGGGGCAAGGGAGTTATTATTTCCCGATACATGAATGTAATTTATATACTTTGGCATAAACAAACACCGTTACATATATATATTTAAAAACATATATATATATATATATGTATGTATGTTTATATGTACAAACGAACAGTTACCGAGCAGAGCCAACAAAACGATTGACATACATACAGACACAAACGCACACACACCGCTTGCACATATATATAAAATCTATATATACAATGGCAATATATATATGTATGTAAGTCGGAAAGGCTGACGGGGGAGGGGCAGGGGGCGGCACGGATGACGACGTTTGGCTTTAGGTTTTTTAGTTGTTTTTGTTGCTGGCGGCGTGGTGGAGTATACTTTTTGTTGTTCTTGTTGTTGTTGTACGTTTTTGGTACAGGAGCGTGTTTTTGCGCTAGTGTTCCTATATATGTGTGTGTGTGTGTGCGGCGCTTGCTTTCGTGTGTATTTTTCTGCTTCTATGTTGGTTTGGATCTCACCGTACTTTTAAATATGTTTTAAATAGGTGTTATACCATTAAAAAACAAACATTTTGAACTGAGTTTAATCATTGTTTGTTGCCAACCGCACTTACATTTACATATTTCCTCGCAATCGGCAGGTTGTTGTTTTGTTTGGTCTTCCTTTTGCACCCTCGATCACAATAAACAAAAATACTGTCTTAAAACAAGGATCCTTTTTCGGTGGTTGAAAACCGGGAAAAATCCGAAAAGTTTGGGGCTTTTTTATGTTGGAAAAAAAAACTGAGTGGAAAGAACGCCAAAGGCGGAGAAACAAGAGACGAGCGAACGAACGAGCGGGCAAGACAAACTGGAAATGTGTGAGGCGGAAAAAGCAAAAACAGAGTTGCAACGAACAGCCGGGGCGCGCGCAGGGTTGCATGGCGCCTATCGGCTATCGGGTATCGATAGCGGGCAATTATGAATTACCAAATCCGCAATTAATTACATATTTTATTGCCAAATTTACGTTTTCTTTTACTCTTTAAAAAGTGATAAAAACATTTACAGCTAATTGCCGGCTAAAGAGAGAGCTCGCGCTTTTTCGCACGCTCTCTAAAGTAGCGAATAACCGTGTGAAGCGCATGGGCCGCACACATGTGTTTGCCTGTATGTGTGTGTGTGAATGAATGGAATGGCGTAGAATGGGAGGGAAAACAAATTTGACAATCGTACGCGCGCCACGAACGAAATGAACAAAACAAAACTGAAACGGCATTGCTTGTCGCCGGTTTTTTTTTACTTTGATGGATTTATGCGATTTGGCATGTGCAGAAATTCAAACTGAGCGCGCGAAAAAATATTAAATGTGTAGCTTAAATATATCAAATTAATCTGGCCCCCCGCTTCATCCCCCCCACCAACACACACATATTAGCACACACTAGTGTCTTAAACTGTATACTCATCACGATACTTTAGCTGATGCTTCTTCTTTCTCCTCCAACTTATTTCAGATTACGCTACCCCTCTCTTTCGCACCCACGGCAACGGGATATATACAACCGTACATATCTATCTATATGTATACATACAACTAAATATGTATGTCTGTATGTAAGCGTCGGTATATGTATGTATGAGTGTGTGTGTCTGTGCGATTTGGTCTATATGCAAGTACAAAATTTGAAAGTAACCCGCTTCTGGCGCATTTTTCATCCCCGTCCCACCCCCTGATCATCAACTTTGTAGAGGTCGAAGGGCATCCGGAGTAAGGAGTAAGAAGTACGGTGTATGCCGGTCACCTAACCAATCGCCATCATCACCATCGGTGGGCCCATTAAAAGACCCAAACTCAAACCTAAAACAAACTATCGCCGCACTTTATGTTATACATACACGTGACCTTTTTCGATATTAAGTAAATTAGCCAATTCATATTTAAGATTGCAAAGTCAGAAGAATATTACTGTGGTGGCTTCACTTTAAAATATCTTAGATTTTGTATATTGGATCACACCTAAGTATGTATAAGTAGTTAGTTAAAGAGAGCTTGGTCCCAAACCCATAATTTAAGCAAAAGTATCTTAGTCAATTACCAGTAAACAAGTTAACTGAAATTACTTTTCAATTTTAAAATTCCAAAAAGCTTGAAGTTCAAAGAAATGTTCAATAAAATACGAACAATAGATGCGCTTTAATCAAGATTTATCTAAAACTTATCTGAACTTAAATAAAACATTAAATAAACAAAATTATTACTTTCGAGTGCAACTGGAATTGCAGTCTTTATATGGCTTCATCCACACAAGATATAAAGATACAATGTTTATAAGTTGATCCCAAAATAATAATTTTGTCAGTCAATTAACGATAATGATTTTAACAACTAGAAAGAAAAAAATAACTGGATTTTGAAGTTATTTATTTAGCTACGATTAAATATAAAAACATTTTTGCTTAGTATGAATCCGAATAATCAACAGATTGAAAACTGTCTATCACAGGATATACAAAATAAAAGGAACTTGATTCAATTTTCCTACTATGATTAAGATAAAGGAAGTTATTTTCTTGAAGTAAATAATTTTAACCAAATTTAAATACTCTTAATAAAACAAAAAGAAAAGTTTTAATAAAGATTGAAAAAAATAATTATATGATGACGTGACTCACTCTAAAAGAGTGTTTCTCATTTTGTTTGACTCACAATTATATATATTTTTCAAAATAGTAGAATTAAAGAATGAATCAAAAGTGAATTTCCAACAAATATGTTAATGACTTTCTAAATTTTCTTTCCGCTTACATGAATTACAAAACTGGCACGAATGCATGCTCGTAAATTTGTTTTAAACTATATATACTTTAGATATATAATATCATTACAATTATCAGTACATTAATTATACTTTTTCGAATATTTCGTTAAAAAATCTTATCTGATGCATCAAACAATTCAATAAAAATTAAAAAAAACAGTTAAAAAAATGTTAAATCATTGTATTTATGATTAACTAACATTACTGAGTTTAAAATTTTGATTCTCTAATATCTAATCTTCCAGTGAGTCATTCAAAAATGTATAAATTCCAGATTTGTTCTGAAAACCTGCCACCCAGAAGATAAAAAAAATATATAATAAAATTCCATTAATATGTAATATAATTACTATTTCAAAGACATTGACGGAAAAAACAATCAGCAGTTTACATAAACATGTTACTGATATAATGCGGTTTGACATTGAAGGCAAACAATTTGATTTGGGTAAAATCTAACAAAATTACTGCAACCTTTTTTTGGTTTTTTGTTGATTATAAAGGCTTTGTCATTCTGACTTGGCTTCTGCTACATACTTGTACATGTACATATGCAAAACTCGATATTTAACCTACAAAATCCACATGGCAACAAAGAAAACCTAAATCTTAATAGACAATCCATTAACAGTTTCTGGCCTAGATTTCTCACCTTAATCATTCGCTGCGGGTTAACTTGGCTAGTGGAAGTTATTTCCGGGTAAGGTCTGATCTTCAATCCTCTGCCGTCTCGTCCTCTTCGTCCTCGTTGAAAGACAGCTTACTGCTGGCGACCTTGGACTTTTTGCTCTTGGATTTCTCGGATTTCTTTCCTGATTTCTCCGACTTCTTGCTGTTTACGGATTGGGACTTATTTTCCTCGATGTTGAGCTGCTTAACACGCTGCTTGAAGACTATGGGCTGGGTCAAATCCGCACGTTTTTCGGCTAGTTCTGGAAAAGATTGAAAATGGGAGTTAATTATGAAGCAAACAAGTACTTTGACAATTACAAAATTGTAATTTTGTATAGTGTTTAAAACTATTTTTTCATTACAACGACCGAAAATCACCAAAACGAAAAATATAAATTTGTTCTATAATGGGCATTCGACTTTTTGAAATTTATTAAAGGGGGCTTTATATTACAACGTCATTTAATCAGACTCAGTATCTGTAATAAAATTATTCAAGTGTGTTGGTACTACGGAAACAGAAAGTTTATGATAAACATTGGTCAATTATTAAAAACTGCATAAAATCGTAAGAAAACAATAAGCTAATTTAATAAAAGGGGTTTGATTGAAAATGTATCTAGGTTTTAAAGTTGCATAAGCTGTCAACGAAATCGAAAGGTAAAGAGAATTTAGTGATTCCAATTCATTATTGGATCTGAAAATGTATCTGGGTTTAAAAATTGCACCATGACGAAGAATGGAAAATCAGTACAGGCCACCCACTGAACCCCTTTCCCTTCGCCTAACCCCTCTTTTCCAAGCAGCACCCACAAGATGTTTTTCTCGGCCCTGGCCAATCCCCTCCTCCTCCTCTCCTCCTGCTCCATCTACTGATTCGCAACCCGCCCCCGCTGTTTCGCCATCCCCTGTTCCTCCTCCTCCGCCACTGCCCCGCCCCCTTCCTCCCCTGCCTCCTACACCACGTCGTCAAGCCACTTTGGCCCGCTCTTTTTCTCTTTGCTTGCTGCTTCGTTCATCATTGTCTCTCCGCTTTAGCCGCCTCCTTCATCCGTTCGTTCTTGCCCACGTCGTTTTCACCCGATTTTCTGCGCTCTTCCAAGGGGGGGACGGAGTGAAGCGGGGGGAAAACGGAAGAGGGGACAAAGCGAGCGGCAGCTGCTGTTGTTAACTTCTTTGCCGGCTGCTTTATCGCCCCGCCCGCTTTGCCAACGATTTTTATCACATGTTTTGCTTTAGCGGAGCCCCCCAATGAAAATGTCAGTGTGTATGCCTCGTCGGCTATTTGTATATGTATGTGTGTGTGAGGGGTGCTCCGCTTGGCAAAAAAGGGAATCTTCAGGACGGAAATTACTACTATAACCATGGCAACATGGGGCTTAAAAAATAGGTAGTGCCAGTACCCTTAAAAACCTCCACAAAACACCTACTTTTGAGTAAACAAAAATCTAACAAACGGTTATTTTTGCACTACCGTTTTATTTTCATTGGCAAAAATTCACAAACACACGCGCGCACATTATATATATATATATTAGATATATATATGTAACGCTGGGCAGAAGAAGACAACCGCTCGATTGTGACTGAAAAGTTAAACTGAAAGACAAACTACAACATCCTACCTACGCACACACGTGCAACTGCCTGGCTGGTTGTCTATGTGTGAGCGAGCGTGTAAGTATGTATTATAATTATATAGGTATGTACATATATATACCTTTGGCGGCCAACTTAGCCTCATCGGCGGAAAGATCTCCTGGCTTAAGGACCACCACTTGGGGCTGTTCGTCTTCCCTTTCCGGCCGGCAATCCTCACTAGAATCGTAATCCTCGTGGTCCGACTCCAAGCGTTGGCGCTATTTGGGATTCGGATCGAAAAATCCCCATTAGAATGTTCCCGGGTTGGCAGCAAGACCAAAAACCCTCACCTTGGTCTCTACGCTTGGACCTTCTTTGTAGCCGATTTCCGCCTTCAACTTGGCCAAAAAGCTGGGTTCCTGCGGCTTAACGTACGTTATGTTGTTGCGCTTGGACATATCAGATATAGGGCAGCTACAACATCACAGTTGTCCTCCGATTCCGCAGCGGTTTTTGTTTTGCAGTTTCTATTTTGGCTAAATATCTTGATGGGGGTGGCACAAAAACAGATGTTTATCGAGAAGTGTGGGTAAACGCGCATCGAGAACACTGATATTAATAACAAAGATTATGAATTTAACTTATTTTTTCAAAGAACATCTTTGTACTTGCCTGAAATTGTAGGTTTCAGCTTGCTTTATTAATGTTTCATAAAAAAAAGATTGCTTATTGTGTTTTGACTATTATCGATAGTCACTACATTTAACAGCTGTGTTATGTCCTATGACATGAGTTTTCTATCGATATTGGACTAGAATTTATCTCCCACCATATTTCAGCCATTACCAAGTAAACAATAAGTATAAAAGTAAATTTTACATAAAAATTCGCTTGCAAATGATAAAATTTAAATATATTTTTTGTTATTGTTTGTTGTTGTAAGAGTTGAAGTTGCGCACGATAGCGATATGAAAAATATCGAGTATATATCGACAAAAAAAATCGGCTAAGTGCTGCCCATAAAATGATAAATGGGTTCATGAGCGGTTACTTTTTGAAAATGGTTGAAAGACAAAATCAGAAATTGTATTAATAAAAAATGTAAAAGAAAACAAGAGGATGTTGCTGTTTTGCCAAATTAAGCTTTATTCTTGTCCCAGCTGACATATTTTCCCTCGACAATATTTTCTTCCAAGAGACTTGCTTTCAATTTGCGAATAAATTTATACTTCCATCGCTTCCTTCGCTCGCGCCAATGAAAAAATGGGCGCATAAAACTGTCACATAACTTGCAAATTTTCCGCTTCACCTGCAATTCAATGCCCTGAAACAGAAATTTGATCGAAACTGACAACAAAACAATACACAGTGGCATTCATCAACGTCAGTGGCTTCAATTTGCAATGTCGTATGCACAGTTTCCTCCTCGTTTGAGCCCCCTTTCTAGCCCCCCTCTCCCTCCTTCCATGGAACATAATAAATCATCTGCAAATTGATTTCAAAACTTCGACAGCTAACCAAAAAAGTGCTGCCGAAAAAAGAAGGCAAAATGAAAACTGCAGCAAAACGGAGAAATTTTATGAGCTGCAGCATATGTCGGACAAAAACAAATAGCGTGCAGTGAAAAAAAATTCTATTTCCGTTCTATTGCTCTTAAAAACTTTTTAATAGCTTTAAAATAAAACTGTCATAAAAAAAAATTTTGATTTTAATTTTTAAATTTTAAGTAAAAGTGCTAAACTTATGTAAATTGAAGTCAAAAATATTTATATTAACTGATATATCGGAAAAATTTAAGTTTAATCTTATTCCTAAGTATTATTCTTTCTCTGTGGCGGAATGCGGATCAAAAACAAAACTGAAACTCCGTTTTCTGCTTTCTGGCACGCGTTGCAAGCGTTCCCCCAAAGGGTTTTCGCCGGTCCCCGAACTAATACCAAATTGATAGCTTTTAAATTTGATTTCGCGTCTTATCACCGACCGCTTAAGCGAGCAGTTTCGGATCAGCCACCCCCTATCACTTCATGGATGGCAAAACCAAATGGAGTGTATGGGGAGTGTACCAGGATTGAACCTATCACCCTCCTCCATTCCCCTATCCTCATGCATTAAAAATGAGGCTGTGGAAGTGCAACGTGGCGTATGCTTGTTGTGTTTTGTTTTGCTCGCTTTGCGTCCACATTGAAAATACATTGAAAATGCCGGTGTGCAACACAAGTGTTTCGGCCTTGATGCAATATCTATACTATGCTATACTATACTATACTATATAGTGGATATAGAGTCATCCATCCATCCATCCATACATCCCGTGCAGGCAGCATAGGCTTCGGTCACATGCTGGCCAACTTATATCAAGAACTCTTGAGAAGAGCCTCAGGAAAATGTTATCACAGTCTGCATCCGGCACGGAAAAGCCGAAGCGTTGCATGTGCAACTCGGGACTCGGTTCCACATTCCGCTTTTCAGTGTTCAGTTTTCAGTTTCTGCTCCTCGGCACTCAGATGCTCGTCGGCATTTGGCGCGTGCAGTTCTGTTCACTCGGTCCGAAAAAATCAACGGAGTTGTTTAATAACAAAATCGTTCTAAAATTAAACATTTCGAGGAGACACTGAAAGAAAATATCTGTGAAATCGGTTACATTTCGGTAAATCTATCAAATCAGCAAAGAGTGTAGTTCTGCCCTTTTTCAGCAGTCATTAATTAAACTTTCTGGAACTCAATTTTAATTATCACTACTTTGATTTAATACTTAAGAACAACACACTTTTTTTTGTACACCAAGATTTTTTTAATTTTTAAAGGGCAAAGTGTTATTCATATAAACAAAATTGTGAACTTAAGTTAAAAAGAAGGAAACATTTTAAAGTAGCATATTAAATTTGAGGTCCAATTTGCAAACTGATTTCTTTAATTTTTCTTTGTGTAGCATGGTTTGCTCTAAGCGATATGAAAGTCGCACTTGCGCAGTGTTTTAGGCACCGTACTTACTGATAAACGCTGTCCAACCGAAAGTGATAAGCGAGTGGTTCTGGAACTTCCGCCCGAGGAACGCGTTTATCGTCGCGATTTGGGTTCGCCTTGAGCAGTTCTTGAAATAACAGCCATCTGGTGAGAAGTGCGTGAGAGTCCGAGTTCGAAATGCGCGTTCCGCTGCTCCTGCTGCAGCTGCTCGGCCTGCTCCTCCTCTCCGGCGGAGTCAAGGCCGCCTATTGTCCCTCCGGATGCACCTGCCTGGAGCGAACCGTGCGCTGCATCCGCGCCAAACTATCCGCCGTGCCCCGAGTTCCACAGGATACCCAAACGCTGTGAGTGTTCCATGAAAACCCTGGGGGTCTTCCACTCGGAAAATATATATTTAAACTCTCTTAATTCGAGGTAGAAAATTCCACCATTTCAAAACATTTCATTAAACATTTGCTAGCAACGGTATTTTTAATGTCTTTAAATTAATTTTTATATAACTAAGAAAACAAAACAAAAATTATGTTTCAATAATGTATAAAAATAATTTGACTTTCATATAAAAGGAGACAATAAAATTACAAAGGGGTCACTATAAATTCAATTCACTTAGAGTGTGTGTAATATTAAGTACCCAGAAAGAGCAAAAAAGTTGTATTATTATTATAAAAACGATTTGCTGGAAATTAAATTTGAATAAAAGAAACTTTTACCTAACGGAGTGGAGCTTTTAGAATCTATTTGTCCTGAACTGGAAGGTAGAAATGGACTTTTGATATTAGTTCTTGGCCAACTTTTGCCTTCTAGTTTGCTTTCGTCGAGTGTACATAAATCAACGCGGGAGTTGGCTTTCAAATCCATAAATTAGTTTTTAATGTTTTCTGTGCACGCTGCGAAAAGTTGACAGCGTTAATTTGACGCCTCCCTTTTCGCCGTTCATGTTTTCCTGCTCCGCATTCCTATTCTCCTCCGGAATCGCAGAATCTTCTCCAGCCATGTTGACTCAATTAAACGGATGTCTAACCGGCGAACGCTGACTGGGATTTGTATATTTATCACGCTGCTCGACGCGTATTTGCATGCATGTGCAATATTTCTGACGTTGCATTTATTTTCGAAAATGTCAGCAGTTTTCGCATGAATTTTTGGGGGAACCATCAGACCACACCACACACCCATCGCATACGACTTGGCAAATGTTTGTGGAGCATATGCATATTTATGTAGGCCGCGGTATGTCCCCAACCCGAGCAACATGCTTGCATCCTGGCAAAATGCACCAGATGCCGCAGCCGGCGGCAGGTTATCAGACAGAAAACAAGAAGAAACGCTTGAGTTGAGTGCCTCGTTTGTTAGATACCTATTACTCAGCTAATCAATTTGAAAATAAATATGCCCCTTAAAAACAATTGTTTTGTAGTTGGCGCCATCTGCCGAACTGCAGGGGGAAACTACAAGCTAAAAGCTTATACAGTTCTTTCGCTCTTTTTTAGTTATGCAGTGGCGTCATAATTTAAATTTTCCTAATAACTTTTAAATTGCTGGTTCGATATGGACCATTTTTGTTGTATCTATAGATATTGGCCGAATAAACATATGACGGACAATAACTGGCCTTTACTATGTGTCTACAGAATTTTGCCAATTCCTAGCATTACTGTTACTACTTTTAAACGAATTCAACATAACTATTGGTTAATGTCTATAACTACTGACTAATGGGTACAAAAAAAGCCTCCACTGGAGGACGGCAAGATGTCCGGATAGATGCAGTAAGATTTTCGTGGTATTTATAGGCGAATTCAATTTCCACCGGGGGCCACTGAGCCGCGTTTGATGGCCGGGATTCGCTGATTCGCGGAGCTGGTGAAAAATAAGAAGGATTGCCACACCCTATGACAGCTGCAAAATGCATCCTTGTCAGGGGAATAGGTGAAGCCACTCACTTCACGTGTCAACGAATTTGGAAGTCCTAAATAAATCGATTTTATGGTGATTTTTTAAGTTTAAAAAGCACTCAAGGGGGAATATTATTCTCTTATTATTGTGCCAAGTTGGTGAAATATTTTGAAATGTAATCTAACACAAAAGTTTTTGTTCAGATATAGGGATTAAAGAAAGAAAAAAATGATTTTAAATGCCTAGTGCAAATTGCCTATTTATAGCACGACAAATGTTTGTTAATGGGTTGATATATATAATATATGGTATTAGCCTACAGAGCATTTTATTTTTATGAGTCTGTGCTAATGGTAATGGGTGGACTTTTAAAATGGCTGACAGGTGCAAAAGCCATACTTGTTTGGGAAAATAGGTGAAACCAATTACTGCAGATGTCAACAAAATGGAGTCCATAAATAAATCGATTTGTTATTTAATTTTGGCTCATGAGATTAGGGTAGTGAATTTAGTAACATTGGAAATACATATTCCGAAAATAAATTTCATAAGCTTCTTTTTCGTAAACTTTTTTAATCCATAAAACTAACATAACAATAATAAATTCCACTTTTATGATGCTGAATTTTTAGCGTGTTTGATATTAGCAGGAAGCATACATTTTTTGATAAATTGAGCAAATATTTAAAGAGATTTTAACTCTTTTCAATATTGGCTCCACAATTTAAAAAATTTAAAAAAAAACACAAAACAATTATCTTTTTAATTATTTTTGCTTATCGATACAACGAAATTTGTATTACCATGTTATACTTTAATACGCTTTGCCGCTGAAGTCAGCAAATGTATAGAAGCCAAATAAATCCAATAAAATTTTGTTTAGCTGCTGAATTGATTTACGTTTTCGAAAGTCATAAAAGTTGTTTATTTTATACAGAATGCAAACATTTCAATACATACTTGTACATACTTATACATTTAAGCTTAACTAAAAATCTAACACAATCATTTAAAGACCACAGCAGTATTAATAATTAAATTAACCAACCTGACAAAGCGAAACTATGTGCAAACAACAAAGACCATGCAGTTAAATATTCGATTGTATAATGTCTGATTTGCATATCATCCACCAGTCGCCCAAAGAATCCACATCCATTTGCAAATCTCACTCGCAGGATCACATCCTTTTCCATTTGTTTGGCTCGCCACACCACAACAATTTCTCAAAATGGGTGAAAAGTGTGGAAAAATAAGAGGAGGAGTTGGCAGTACTTAAATTAATCTTCATTTTAAATAAGGTGATGGCTGCATAATTTATCATGCCTCGAAAGCAACAGCATTCGCATCTACAACAATAGAAAAAAAAAGAAAGAGAAACGAAACGAAAAACAGTGAAAAAGAGAGCAAACTTTGCCATTGCAATTTCGCTTTTCATTTATTCCGCAGCCGACCCGTTGCACACTTTTAATTAATTTGTTTCATTTATTACTGCATGTGTCTAAAAGTTCCTCTTGTTCCCTCCTATAAGCACATATTTGTGCATTTTACTTTTGTGTGTTTTTGTTCTGTCGAGTCAGATTTTCACTGCTTTCTTTTTCCATAATTCTCGAAATGTTTCTCGACAGTCGACGACGAAAAGTATGAGAACATAGTTTTTCCAGGCAGAGACACGCCATTATTTTATGGCTCACACATGGCAGCATTTCGGTTCGGTTCCAAACGGTCTGTCTTCATGAAAATATTCTTGATTTAATTTTGTTAATGGCATTTTGTTTACAATTTCTGTCCGGAGGTCACTGGAGATAAATGTCGGGCAAACACAAAAGAGACGATGTGAAAAATAGTTTGCTCGGATAAAATAGAGCTTTGAAAGTTAGGGATTTATTTTTTGGCTGCATTAAACTATAAATTTAACACAAGAAGATGCACCAACTAATTTTCTTGAGCGAAATTTAGTTACTTGAGGCAAATAAGATTTATTTATTTTATACCTAAAATCCTAAATAATTGTATATTATTACACTGTTACAATAAAAGGAATAGTTAGAAAAAATATCTGGTAATTGAATTCAAACTGTTATATTTTATGTTAAAATTTATGATGTTTTATCATTTTAAATGTAATGCATATTAGAATGCATGATTTAATATCTAAACATTTTAAATAAATATATAAAATATTAAATTTTAAATGGGTTTTTCATATATTAAAATGTATTCAGAAAATAGTTAAATGAAATATGAAAAAAATTGTTATATTTTCATATTTTAGATAACTAAAACCTAAGTAAAAATTATTTTAATTGAGTATAAAATACTTGCTCAAAATATTTATAATTTATAAATACGAACGTTTTCTTCCAGTAAAACAAAAGTAAAGTATAAGATTTTTCAAATTTATGATTAGTCTTTTGACATTCACATTTCTTAATATTTCATGAGTATAATAGTATGGTGTTTTGTTTTAATACATTTTCCATATCCATAATTATCTTGAAAGGCATTTCCTACTGAAATCCCATTTCATTTTCTTCAATTCTTTTACAAATGATCCTTAAGATCACCTCCTCCTAGCATTCTTCGAAAGTTTGAAAACCTTTTCAGTGAATTCTTTTCTATTTTGCACACTTGAGCTTTAGTTGCCGTGGCTCTTCAATTTGATGTTGCTGAAGCTCAAACCTTCTACTCAAACCATCTCAGTGCCTAAGCCACATTTCACTTCTTTCAAACTGTCCATCCATCAGGCATAAGGCATAAAGTCGCTGCCATCGCAGCAGCAGCAGCCATTGAAAGTTCTCGTCAGGATGGGGTCATACAATATGCTGCCCCTTACTCCCATCCCGAAATCCTTTTATATATCCTTGACTTGCCTCGAACAAAAGCCCTAAAACATATTTTTTGGCCCGTCCCGTGTGTATTTAAACTGGCGAACTAAATGGAAGTCGAAACTGTGTAACATACGGCGGCCGTTTCCCCTGCATCATTCATCTTGCCACGCCCCCACACTCCCACGCCCCCAAACCGCCCACACACATGGCAGCTGTTTTTTGGGGGGCATTTCTAACTCCCCTTTACCACGCCCCTTGAGCTAAATAAATGCACTTGATTTCATTTCATGATGATGCATTTTTAGCTGACCTCCCATAAAGCACACATCTCTTCTTAGTTCGCCATGGAGGCAGTTGCTCCGTCATTATTCCCGTGACTTTACCACTTTCAATCCAATCCCCTAAGTCAGCTTTAGTTGTAAGTACAATGGGGACTTTTGAAAAAAGTTAAAAAATTCGTTGGTAATGAAAAAAAGATTTATCACACTTTTTATTTATTTTGCCAATTACCAAAAATTAAAGTAAGACTCTTTTTAATAAAAATAAGTGTTCCATTTTTAAAATCATCAGAATGGAAAAAGTTATATTTTAAATAAATTTATATTTTAATACCA